ACTCTGGTCCCTGCTTAGAGTATTGATTTTGTATCTCACGGAAACAAGTCCACTGTTGGATGGGCGCTCTTCTTTGTGTACTCAGCCAAATTCAAACACATTTGTATTTGTGGCCCCATGAATCTCAAATGCTTTCCTCTACTGCTTCCAAAGAGGGCAATATAAAAGGTGCATGGCCCCCACTGATGCAGCTGTTAGCCTGATGCTTACAGGGTATTTTATCCCAGTGACACAGAACCTCCCATCACTGAATACCCAGACCAAGGAGGGAATCATATTTTCTAATTGTTAAACTAGTACCAAAAGAAACTGCTAGCATTTCCACTTCAGACAAAACTTTTCTCTGTAAGAAAGAATGTCAGCACCTCTCCTAATAGCTGAGGTTCCCAGGTGGTTAAAGGACCACTGCTGTTCTGAGGCAGCCTTCCCTGTGGTCAGAAGTGGTTTAGACTCTGTTCTGAATGTCTCCATCTAGCTTCAGGCAGCCATGGATTTGGACTGTGCTCTGCTCAGCCTGCTCAGATCTGCTTCTTCTGGATCCCATTAGGAGGTGCTTAATTTCCCATGGAGCCTAACACGGGTTCTGGATTCCTCTCTCATGCGTCATATCTGACACATAATCAGAAACAGATCCTGGCCCAAAGCTCTAGCCAGCCAAAAATGGAGAAAAGCAGACTGGCTGACATTGTGCCAGGGCTACACTCTCACAGGAATACTGATGCCCATGGGATGACAGAGATGTAAATTCATTTGATCCCAGAATTATCGCTTGTAGCTGAAACATTATAAAGTTGTAGTGGATGCCATGAAAAATAACGGCTTTTCAGATACTTCACATTGCAACAGCAATTAATGATTCTGTTTAGATGTTTGGATCAAGCTGGAATTACAGTGCCATGACACCAGTTGTAAGACAGAATTTCCCCAAAAAATTAACTTCTTGAAATATCTGAAGCACTGCATTCATATAAAGGAAAAGAAACCCACTCCACAACTTCAAATAAATACCCTTCTAAGTACCAGGAACCAGACCCTTAGTTAATATAAACCCTCTAAATAGAATGGATTTAAGCAATTTACAGATACTGAGCACCTTTGCTTCAGAATAAATAGAAATGAAAGTAACTTTTTTTTTCTATTCCCTCCTTTTCACAATTAATTTTGTTTGGATCTTTCCTAAGGACTAACATGAAAGCAATTGCCTTCTTGGGTAAGTGTGCAACACAGAATCCAGGGTTTCTTCTCAGCAAAGGAGGAAAAAAAGACATTTCGGAGCTACCTACAGTTTTAAATAATCTCCTCTCACTAAAAAAGCCTGACCTTGGTACTTCTAAGACAGCTAATAAAGTGATAAAGTTCATTTCCAAGACAGATGGGAAAATGCACTGAAAATTATTTGTATCAAACTGAAGGAGACATTTAAACCACTGTGTCTGGGTGGGTTTATGTATCTATTGAATTTCACCTCCTGTGCTCCCCTTAAAGTTACTGCAGTAAAGATGACATCCAAAAGTCCTGATCTGATCAGAAATTACAGCCTGGCTGTCCAAGCCACTGGGACACAAAAACACAGCCAAGATCCCATTGATTTAACAGTAAGAAGGGGGTTCTATATATTATGATCTGTCTGTCTGCCTCCATTGGAACCCCTCACTTCTGTTGAGACCATGCACTTCATTCCTGAATTTGTGCCAGATTATTCTGTCAAGGCTGAAGTCATTGAATCTGAGGCCATGTAAGCCAGGCCCTTACCTTCTCCAAACTGGCAGAAGTCTTCTTACTTCAGCCAAGTGAGGACAGTCAAGAGTGTATGAAAGCAAGACTGGCAGGGTTTCTGGAGAACTCCTGTCTCCTTTGCTGTTGCACACACCTCTCCCACAGAATACCATTCAGGAACTGGAAACACTGCACCTTGGAATCATAACAGGTTTTCTGTCACTGTCCTATCACGCTGGAAAGCTGTTTCAGAGTCTGACTACTCTGTTGGTTTGAAAAAGTGAGGTAAAAAGGCACTTGAAAATAACAACACCAGCCGGAAAGGGGGGCCAAAAAAACTCTATTATATCACTTCAGTTTGCTTCCAAGATAAAGTCTCTATTTAGTAGGCATCAGTCCAGCTCGTTCCTAACTATTGGTAATAGTTAGTAACTATTGCCATTTCTCTAAACAGAGTGAAATTTTGATAATGTGTCTCACCTAAGTTCTTTCAGACATTTAAAATGTAATTGCAACACCTAAAAATATTTCTCCTACCTCACTTGCTTGAAGATACGTGGCCATGTAAGGGAGTGATTGCAATTTGACATGTTCCCACATGCTAGGAGTGTCACAGCAGCAAATCTCTTAGCCTGCAGCAAGCATCAAGGCATCTACTTAACCTGCTTCACAGTGGATTATACTAAACCACATCACCTTGCATTTGCCTCATACACAGATATTTAACTCAGATTAGCAAATATACTGATTTTGCCTCTAAGCCTTTAGACAAGAGGTCTTAATGGAGTTTTGCACCTCGAGTCAGCTGCTGTGATCTGCCTTTTCAAGACATGCCAGCAATTCAGCCTGTTCTGAGTTTAGGCCCAAGGAAAGGCTACTCCCAAAAGCACACTGCTAAGGAAAATACACAAGCTGTCTAAAAACCCATGGGGTGATTGAACATGGTTTACTCAAAACTTATGTGCCATCTTATGACATCTCAGCCAGATGGATAGGTTGGAGTTAGTTTATGTAGAGCAGGAGTTGGGGTTTTTTGATAAGTCTATCTGCAAGGTTATGTTGCTTTGCTGCTGAGTGCTGTTCTGGGGAAGAATAGCCACTGCATTCTTTCCAGGGCCAGTAAACCTACAAAACGTGGTGCATGAAATAAAAATTTTCATCAATAGTGAATATTAGTGCCATGACTTGCAAAAGCTAGGTTATTTTGTTTAAACATTAAAATAAGCACCTTTTGCCTTGAAAAGGACTGTGGCAATTAATTGGACAAAAATAGTTTCCTGAAGTTACAATGGCAGCCACTTAGCTGAATGCAAGTGAGAAACATGACATGTGAATGTTCATCCCAGATAAGGTTTTACCAAGTAAAAGCTAAAGTAATATTAAAGTAGTGCTTGCTTAACAATATTACATTGTCAGATCATGTGTAAGATTGCTTTTTACCCTGTAAAAGGCAGGCATTTTCAGGACCATGTTTGACTTACTGCACTTCAGAATCACAGGGTGCTGTAACAGCAATTACCATCCTTTGCCTTTGATGTGCACTTTTGAAGCACCACAATGATCACAGTTAAAAACACCTTCAATTCCTGAACTTCTAAGATATATATTTTTTGCCTTTCACTCAGCTCTTAAGCAATTCCCAAAATCTCATGTGCCCTTGAATTTCAGCATGAAACAAAAGTAGAAAATTAAACTTTGCCTTCCCAATACCGATCTATCTCTGCTGCTCATCCTCCAATGATGACAGCCTAGGCAGGAAACTGCAAAGAGCAGGTTGCCCTTTGCTTTTCAGCTAGGTCCCACCACAGCAGCATGGCCCCAGCCAGACCTGGCTGAGTTTCCTTCCAAAATAAAGTCTCTGTTTAGAGACTTTTTGGCGTTAGAACCTTGCCCCGTAACCAACATGTACCTTCCAAAACAGCAACCACCCCCTAATAAACAAATAAAAGAGAGAAAAACCAAACCCAGCTCTGGGTTTTGGCTTGCATGCTGACCTTCTCCACCCTCCAGCCACACGTATTTTGGTCACTGGCAAGCATAGGATCATAGAACCATAGAATGGTTTTGGTTGGACAGGACCTTTAAGATCATCTAGTTGCAACTCCCTTGACATGGGCAGTGACACCTTTCAGTACACCACGTTGCTCAGTGCTCCATCCAGCCTGGTTTTGGGCACTTCTAGGAATGGGGCATCTGCAGTTTCCCTGAGAAACCTGTTCCAGTACCTCGCCACCCTCCCAGTAAAGAATGCCCAGTGAGCACCGTGATGGAGCCCTCCTTGCATACCCAGTCCCCTTCCCCAACCTCAGAGGCCCCTCAGCTGCATCCTCAACTTGGAGAGGGAAGCAACCCCCTCAGCCTTCCCTCCACCCTGGAGACACCTGCTCCCTGACACCTCATAGCCAGCCCACTGCCATCTTCCATGCGTATCCATACACCTCTCAGTTCAGAATCACAGAAGGCTTTGAGTTGGAAGGGACCTTAAAGACCACCTAGTTCCAACCTCCTTACAGGGGCAGGGACACCCCGGCCTTGAAGACACATGGGGCAGACACAATTTCTCTGGGCAACCTGTGCAAATGCCTCACCACTGTCACAGTGAAGAATTTCTTCCCATTATCTAATCTAAACTTACTCTGTTTCAGTTTTAATCTACTCGCCTTTGTCCTGTCACTACACACCCTTCTGTAAAGTTCCTCTCCAGCTTTCTTGTAGCTCCCTTCATGTTCTGAAGGCCACAGTCAGGTCATCCCAGAGCCTCCTCCAGGCTGAACAATCCCAATTCTCCAACCTTTTCCTCACAGGAAAGGTGCTCCATCCCTCTCATCAACTTGGTGGGCTCCTCTGAACTTGTTCCAGCAGTTTAATATTCTTTCTCTGCTGGGGACCCCAGAGCTGGATGCAGCACTACAGGTGGGGTCTCACCGGCCCGGAGTGCAGCTCTCCCGCACGGCAGGAATGACTGAGACGTTGGGTGGGTTGGGTTTTTTGGTTGTTTGTTTGGTTTTGGGGTTTTGGTGTTTATTTTTGTTTGGTTGTGTTTTTTTAATATATCGGTGTTTGGAAGGCACAAAACTCCGCACGTTACTCCGAACCCCCGGTAAGCTGCCGGGGGTGCCTGAGGCTGCGGCGGGGCAGCCCCGCGCCCGGCCGGCTCCGTGAGGGGCGGAGAGCCGGGGCCGCCAGCGCTGGAGGAAGTCGGCGCTCGGCCGGAAACCGGGATGCGGAGGGCGGGCAGGGGGCGTCGCCGGGGCCCCGCCGTCCGCCGCGGCTGTGGCCGCCGCGGCCATGGCCCAGCGGGCGCCCAGCGGGCAGGGGCAGGACGAGGAGGAGGGAGCGGAGGAGGAGGCGGCGGCGAGGGGCAGCCAGGCGCGGGCCAGGAGCCATGCGGAGCCCGCGGCGAGCGGCGGCAGGAGCCAGGAGCGGCATGAGAGGAAGCGGAAGAGGCAGGAGGCGCAGCAGCTGCAGAAGATCCAGCACTTGGAGTCTTTGTAAGGAGCGGAGGAGGGGAGGCTGCCCGCGGCTCCCGCCCCGGCTCTGCCCTGAGCGCACCCCGCCGGCATTTGGGGCTCGTTTCCAGTGCAGAGTTTAGGGGGTTTTTTGGGAGTGGTGATTATTGTTCCCCTGTCCCCTTAGGGGTGAGCCGGCAGAATGGGTTCGGGGCCACTTGCAGAGTTGCTTGGGGGTTTATGAAGGGCTTGTTGGGGCACAGAAGGCTCCAGACCCGGAGGCCCCGGGTTCCTTCAAGTCTGACAGGTGCAGCATAGGAGCAGAGGTTGTTCCACTAGAATGGACTAAAAAAAAAAACCAAAAAAAACCCCAAAAAAGAAAGAAAAAGAAATTGGGATAAAAAGGTGCTGTAAGAAGTTTATGTTATTTCACCGAAAAGGATGTATTGTTTTAATGGAGTAAAAAGGTCAGAAGATATACAAGAACATGATTTTGTTTTTGTTTTTGTTTTTCCACGTGCAAGTGAAAATCAGTTTGTTATTAAAGGCACCAAAAAGCACTGCAAAGTTAGTGTTATAAAGATGGGATGAACATACTTTAACCACCCTGCTGTTCTGATTGTATTAGTATGACTGTGCCTAGCAATCCTGTAGGTATGTAGGGGTGTCTGTGTGTGCACAGCTAAGCCGATGAAATATTGCCCATGCCATCAAACTTACGGCCTAAAATGATGCACAGGCAGTACAAACCTTTCGTATCCTGCTTAGTTAATTTGTGGATAATGTCTGGAGAGTCCTGTTGAAAAGAGTCTGCCATAAAGCAGAAGATTTTGGGACTCTGGGCTTGCACAGTGCTATTCTTCTTGTTTCATTGGAAAACAGCCTCGAAAAAATCTCAGTTCTCTTCTAAGATCACTCTACACATTGACTAAGGCAGCAGATTACAGAAAACAGTGTATCTGTTTAAATACAGATGGGATTTGAGGGGGGGAAAATACCCAGTACAAATTCAGTTATACAGACATGCATCTTTCTAAGTAATGTGTATTCTTTACCTCCAGGACCATTTTGTAAAATGCCCTGGCATTTAACTCCTTAGCACATGTATTATCTCAGTTGCTGTATGCTCTATGTAGCACCTGTTTGCTACTTGGATTTTAGCAAATGTTTTATCTACTGTTGACCCCAAAGAAATGCTGCAGAAAATATGGTACTTTGGTCACTAGGGCTTTGTCTTTAGGTTTAATGCACAGAAGATGATGAAATTATTATGTATGAGGTTTGGCTGGCAAAGCTAGATGTAAGGAACTGTCTGACTTGACAGTTTCAGCTGGCTATGTCTGTGATTCAGCAATGCTGGAGTAAAGAAGTTTGGAGACCTTGGGGAGGGGTGCAGCAGAAAAAGAGAATTATGTATGGATGGTAACTGAAGCTAGATCAAATGTACCACATATCCCCAGGAAGTAGTTGTGCTCCCACAAGAATATGAGTCTGAAGGATGTTTGCAAGAGACGTGTGTACTAATATGATAAATGCTGTCTCTCACCTTGCTGTATCCACGTTCTGCTGTAGTTCTTACTTATAACTTAATTAGGGTAAAATTTTAGGAAAAATATGAGCTGAAGGCTTTAACTCAATACCACTGAAAAAATGTATTTTTTCAATTCGTTTGTCTGTGCTAAGCTGCAGAGTAACAATATCTCTATTGCTTTTCAGCTATGAGAAACCTCCCCCTGGGCTAATTAAGGTTGGTAAAAAGCAGTCATTTTCTAGGATTATGAGGGATTTTTACAATAAATTCTTAGGTGTTTAAGTGTCTATGACACCTATATAAATTACAGAGAGAAGTGAGTCCCAGAAAAAACTCAGAGAATCATTACAAGCTGACTACTTTACCTTGGTGATCCAGAGTGAAATGTCCAGGATCAGATAGAAGGAGACCAGGTCTTTCATCATCTCTTAGCATACTTCATGCAGTATTTAATAGTGTGGATAAAGGGGAGCCATTTATGGAAAGCAGATTTTTGGTTTGAATGACATCATTTCAGGATTCTTCTCTGTTGCTTAGGCCAAAATAATTCTTTCATCATGGTCATTACTTTTGCCAAATTTATATTCCTAAGCAATAAAGTAATGTTTTTAACCTAAAAAATAACTGCTCCACGTTGTAAAGGCCTCCTCGTAATTGTTATGTCTTTCTAGCAGGAAGAGGATAACAAAGTCTCTGCTTTGTGTTAAGTTTTCATTTCTATTATTGATTCAAATAAGTGGATGGGAAGGATTGAAATTCCTGTACAGCAAAGTTCTGGCTGCAAAATTCAAGGGTGAGAAAAAAAGAAAGGGTCAAGTATTTTAAATCTTTTGTGTGTTACAAGGAAAAAAGGTAATGGGGGAAATATGTTTCCTGTAAAGTAAAGGTCTGTACACTTGAAGTATTAATTCTAGCAAAGTTAAAAAAAGGAAGTTATTTTATTGTCCCTATCTTTCTGCTTTTTTTCATAGGAGAATGAAACAAAACCAGAAGACTGCATACCTGATGTACCAGGCAATGAAAGCGCACGGGAATTCCTGGCGCATGCTCCAACCAAAGGGCTTTGGATGCCTTTGGGAAAAGAAGTCAAAGTTATGCAGTGTAAGGCTGAAAATATTCCAGATGTCATTAGACCATCATATACCATCCATTCACACTGTGGGAGGGCAGAATGTCTGGTGGACAGATGATGAAGTCCAGGTAGATTGACATAATATTGATAGAAAAGCAAACAGTATCCTAAAGGCTGTAATAGCCCAGTATTTTATGCATTGATTTATCAACATAGTGGTTGTATTTCTCTGTTTCTTCCAACAGGTGGAAAATATTTTGCAGGAATGTGGTTTTGGCTTTTTTATGCTTCTTCTGATCTGTCTCAGAGGTGCAATTCACTGCTGCTTTTTTTTTTTTTAAAGGTTGGAGATGTAAACGTTATGGACACAGAACAGGAGATAAGGAATGCCCATTCTTTATTAAAGGCAATCAGAAGTTGGAACAATTTAGAGTAGTGAGTACCAATATTGTAGTATTACTGCTTGTATTTTTTAGTACTGATAATGCATAATCTTGCAACTGAAGATAAGCCTGTTAGATGATGCTTTTATTAAGGACTTTTTCTCTGTCTCTAGTATAACATAGATGCCGAAAATCTCCTAATAAAGAAAAAGCTACAGGTGTGGTTGGATGTTTGACTGCTTTGCAGAAAATCTACTCTTCAAGAGGAAAATTAATAATTTTTACATATAAATTGGAAATCTTCAAGAACCTGTTTCAACAATTTTATTTTTTTTTGTGATCAAAACGTCAACATAACAAAAAATGTTTAGTCGAGCTTGAGCTGCCCACATTACAGCTGCTTCAAGCCTTCTGCTCTCACTGTGAACAACCACATCATGAATGCTGTTGTCTAGGTCTGTTATCCAGTCATTGTCTACAAGTCTGATCTCTTGCTGCATGAAGCTACATCTCAGTTCTGCAAATTCTTCCTGTGTGATCTCTTTAACAATTTCTGTTGCTCTGCATCATTGACCTATATTTCAAGCTGTCATCACTTGATGTCTTATGTCCTCATTTCTGTCCTTGAGAAATGTAATCTTGGCTTAGTCTGTCCAGGTTCTGGATTTGTACTGATTATATGCAACTGCAAAGAGTATTTTTAGCCCTTTCCCATGACCAGACTGCCTCTAGTCCTCATTTTCCCTCAGGCTTCTTTGTTGCATCAAACTCTTGTTGTATGTCCAAGGCCCTTCATGGTGCATTCCCAACATCTTTCATTTGCTCCTGAAATTTCAGGTCCCACCTCTGGTCAGCATCGGCCATCTCTCCTCTCTGTTGGACTTGTTTGCTTAATCTTCCAACAGAAATGGCCACCCCACCTTTTTTCTGCATTCTTGCATGGCATGAACCCACCTTAAATGTCTGCAAAGTTTATTTGCTGTCTTCCTTCACAGCTATCTTTTGCTACAACACCCATTTAATTTGATTTTACACCCAGTAATTTTAGTGCACAGCATGATGGAACAACTCCAGCTTCATTGTCCATATCTTATATTCCTTACTCCTGTATTCCTGTTTGTTTATATCCAGATTTTTAAAATGTACTGTAAGGGTACAAATCATTATTTTGAACTTGAGTATTCTATCTAAGTCTAGCTATTCCCACAGATTATGTATGGGATTCTCATAGTTGGCTGTGATTGGAGAGGTAGGGAGATGCATGCCTAAGGAAGGTCCCCTTCTTTGGAGATGTAGCTAGATAACCTTTCCCTAAAGCAAATACAGGAAAAGTTCAGGTGAGCAGTGCTAAGTCTGACAGCAAATTAAGAGCTTGCTAAGCATATTCTGTCTTTTGATAAAAGCCTCTCGCATTTGGTTGCTTTGGTTTATTTTTTTAGGAGATAAAACCATTGTGATAACATTGCATTTCCTGTTTTCCATTTTAAAGGCACATGAAGATCCAATGTATGATATAATAAGGGAAAATAAGCGTCATGAAAAAGAAAAGAGGTGAGTGTGCCTGTAGTAAACAGCATTTTCAATTTAGTTTTTATTTTGGTAATGTGGCACTAATGTATAGGTGACCTTTTTATAGGAGCTTATTTTTAGTTCAGAACGTTTTTTTAATGGCAGTTTCTTTATGTTGATAGACTAATGCATTTCTGCTTTCTAAATAATCACTCTTTAGTACTTCCAATCACTTCAATTCTTTAGCTTTTGTATTCTTCACAAAACAAAGTTTAAAGAGCAGTTATATGCATTTATGCCATAATATTCAGGTACTTAGGTGTGGTTTTATTTTAGGCCTGAAAAAACAGTGTGATTTATTTTTTTTTCTTTCACTGACTTCACTGAGGTGTTTTCTAAGATGTGGTTTGTCAGAATGTTTTCAGTAGAAATGAAGTGGGAGTTTAGAAAGCTAGTTCTAGGCACTTCATATTGCTACTTTTGTGAGGTCAATATTTAGTGCATAAAGTGGCAGGTTTTGCTGCTTTCTTGCTTGAGCTGCTTCAGTGGGATAACTGAACGAACTATAGGTAGCCCATAGAGCAGCACTCTTGGAGAGGAATCCTTGAAGAGGATACAGACAACAACAATAAAATAAGCCAATATTTTGTCCCTAATCCTTGAGAGTACAAAAAAAGAGTGCCTTTCAAAAATACTTCTGCATCCAGAGTAGAGCCTACTCTGTCAGCTTCACTGACATCCTCTCTGTATCAGCAGGACAATGAATGTCATAATATCCTAATCCCAATATGCCTCTGTAGGGATAAGCATAGAACTTCTTATCACCAGGTGGGCTGGTGTTAGCTGTTGCCTTATTATTTTGCACACATAAATAAGCTAATAAGCCTGTCTGCCTTTCCTATCCAATGGGATGGAAAGTCCCTGAAAGCAGAACATCTGCTTGTCTCAAGGGAGTTGTTTTTATCAGTCCATGATATTATCTGTAATGAGAGTGTAATTAAGCGAAAGAGGAAGCGTTCCCCTGCCCTTTGCATGCAGCTCAGCCATTCCTCAGGCCAGGGAGGAAGGATGAAAGCTAGGGGGGAAAGACAAGCTAGAAAGGATTCTCATTCACATATTTTAAACTCAGGATACAGCAACTGAAGCAGCTCCTGGAGGACTCTACCTCAGAATCTGATAGCAGTGATGACAGTGATGACAATGATGAAGATGGCAGCAGCTCCACTTCCTCAGAACATAAACACAAGAAGAAAAAGAGAAAAAAGGAAAAGAAAAAGAAAGAAAAGAAGAAGAAGAAAAAGAGGAAGCATAAATCATCCAAATCTAATGACAAGTCAGAATCTGACTGACAGCAGTCACCTGCTGCATGCTCATTGACCTCTCTACTTGTGAACTGCGAGGAAAGATCCAAAGAATGAGGAGGAAAACACCAGAAAGGGCTTTATTACACTTGAAACATACATGTGTATGCATACAGCATCCTACACTGGCATCCTCTTCTGCCCCTCTGCAGCCAGAAAGAAGAAAGCTGCATTGAACCATATCTTTGTGCTGTAAAAGCCATGCTGAGACTCATCCAGCTTGGTCAGATGGGGTCTCTGCATTGCTGCCTGTGACCAGCAGCAGAAAGCAGCGACCACCAAGGGATCACCAACAAACCTGTAGCATTAGCAGCCTGTCTGTTGAAGTGTCTTTACTCCATGAAGTTATTTTATCATATACAAAGCCTCATTGTACCAGGACTCCTGTTTGCACCATGCAGAGCACTGAGGGTGCCCTTCCAGTGCTTGTAATGAGCAGGTTGTACTGTATTTTCTTCTGCGCGTACATGCTGAACTTCTGTGTACTTATCCTAATGTTGGCAGCTAGGGAAATAAAGAGTTCTGCTGCAGGAGACAAAATGTAATCAAGGAGATTTATTTTATAACAAAATTGCAGCACCTGCAAGACTTGACTTGATTTTTTTTTTTTTTGGTGTGTGTGTAACAAAATCTCAACATCACCATCATTAATACACAGCTCTGAAACACCTGAAGTGAAACATGTCCATTGTCTAAACCATAGAAGTGGGAGCCAAGTGTAATGATGTTAAATATTCAGCTTAACTGTAAAGAGGTAGTAGGTTTAGTTATTTTAAAAGAGGGGGTTCCACATAAGAAATTAAAAAGATTCATTTCTGCACATTCTGCAGTATCAGTTGTTTTGGTACAAGTTGAGAGGGAGGTTTCCTTTTTAAAAGGCTTAGGGGTAATAAATTCACACTTTTTATATTTACTAGATTTGATGAGGTAACATTTTTTTGAATCATCCCACAAGAATGTGTAAGACTCTCATAATGGTTTTCAACTATGCATGAAACCACAATAATAGTAAAGAATTTGTAAGCAGGAAAAAGAGAACATTTTGTGTACTTATTAGACCTCACATACTGACCACACTTTTAAATAATCTTGCAGACTCAACCAGGAAGATGGAGATAGCTATAAACAGCAGTTTACAGTAACCAACTCCCTTTGAAGCCTCAAGGTACATTAGTACAGAGCTGTGAATTGAGGAACTAGATGGTGGATATTGGTACTGTGCAAAAGGAAAGAGAAAAGTGGATTTGCTTTGAAAGAACTTTATAGAATTTAGTCTCTGTGGGTATGCTAAGATTGAAAAAAAAAAACCCCACACGATAGAGCTCTAATACAGTAGAGTGAACATTAACAGTGAAATCAAGGAGTCATAGAGTACAATGCAGCTAAGATTGTTTTATTTTCTTCAAAGCTTTGGAAGAGAGGACAAGGGAAAGTATAAATTAAAATGTTTTTTCTCCCTCCTGCATGTCTTAGAGTGGTTTAGAAAAACTAACCCCCCCTTCCTTGCCAGTCATTCACAGTATGTTCTGGGGAAAAACAAGATAAGCAAGGCCTACTTACAAGAAGTTTCTGTATCATATTCCCAGACCTTGAAGGTAGGGTTGTATTTTGTCTTGTATTTAGCAAATCTCCCTGTGATGGGATTTACTGGTGACTCATGCTAGTTCCCTATATCAGCAGCTTTATCAAATCCCAAGGGCCTTGTTCTTTCACCAGAAAAAGATTTAACAGCTGAAATAGCATAGGGATCTCTATAATGGACTGATTCTCTTGGCCAGGTTGGACAGGGCTCTGGGCAACCTGTACTAGTAGGAGGTGGCCCTGTGTGTTGCAGGGGGTTGAAACTAGATGATCTTTACAGCCCCTTCCAACCCAAAACATTCTAGGATTCTTGTATTGCCACACTTGGGGCTGAGATTAATGCATTTATAGATTATTGAACAGATGCTGGAAGCCTGATATTGACCTTATGCATTCCAAGAAAACTCTTACTCAGGCTTGTCTAGAGCAGGGCTAACTTAGCATCTCTTCAGTTACTTCAGCTTTTGTCATTTAAGATTGTTCTGAAGCTCAGTTTAATATAAACAAATTCAGTTCTTCCTTTGCAATCCCCTTCCTTGTTAATGGAACTCTCTCTTTGTATCAGTCAGGGTTTATTATTATAACAATTAAGACAAATACATTAGGAGACCATTTCTAACTTGTATCAAATCTAATTTAAATGTTTGAGATGCCAAATAACTTTTCTATGCCTGACTAAAGGCATAGTATCTTTCCAGTCAGGGCTTATAGAACACACCTCCACAGCAGAGCAGTGCAAACTCTGCTGTTATTTCTGTTACTTCACTGAACTGCTCTCTCACCCTGTACTGCTGGGAGTACCCATGCTGCAGGTACTTAGAATCATGGGTTAGATTTTAGTGTTTAGTGGCCTTGGATATATTTTATTTTATATCCATGCATTGCTTATAAACTTTGCCATTTTCCTTAGCAATGAATTCGTCTTCATTATTTATTACTCTGTAGCAATTGGCTTTCCCACTGCTTTGTACTAGTTTAATTTCACACTCCTTTAATCTTACACTGGAGGGTACGTGAGTAACTGATTCCTGTTTGTTCTCCCTGTATCAGTTCCAGTTTTATAAGCCCCTGTCATATCCCATGTAGGTCTTTACTGCAACTCATAAAAGTAGCATTTCAAACTTTAACAGTTCCAATAGACTAAGATGTATAGGAGCTCTTTTAACAGCCAGGGCTAGAGTGCTGAGAAGCATGATTCATGTCATCATTTGGCATTTTAAACAGTGCCAAAGCTGTCATTTAAGATAAGTCTTTTAAAAATATGTAGACTAGAGATAAATACCAACACCCCTTTAGATTAATGAAGAGCAGTTCTATGTTGAAGTAAACCCAGAACACAGGATAGAAAGTTATAGTCTTGAAAAACTGACTAGCCTTACTTTTTAAATCATAACCATTTAAGGCTTTTTTTCAAAAAACATTTTTTCTTGCCTTCTTTATAGACACTTATTTCCATTTGAATGTTCTGTTGAAGCCCAAGCGATAGTAATAGCATAATTATATAGTCCCATGAAACTAAAGAAGTGTTAAATGCAGCTAAAACAACCCTCAAAGGCAATACAGCTTCCCAGGTATTTGATCTTCAAACTCTGCATCATTTTTGTAAGAAAGATATTTCAGGTGAAATACTGATACTTTCCTTAATTCTTTGGCCACTTAATTAGGTGGGGTTTATTGTCTTTTTGAGTGAGACAGCCAGTGGCAGCAAGTCAGGGGAAGCTAGTACTCTAAAAATGGAATTAAATCATTTTTCCTTGGTATGTCTTCAGTTAGCATGCCATGACTGTTATAGGCTTTTGGAGTTTGGGTTTTTTTTTTTCGTTTTCATTTTTTTTTTTTTTTGCCATTAGCTCTGTTCTGCCTTTGTTTGATTTTAATAGAAAGACCTGTGGCTAATATTTTCCAGTATAAGGCAGAACACCAGACATTGTAAAAGGCAAAAAAAATTTTATGGCATCCAGGTGCTACCAAACTGAAAATTAAAATTCAGAATTAGTACCTGGCAAGCCAACAGAACCCAGAGCTCCATGTCAGTAATTACACCACACCCACTTTTTTCAGTTAGCTACAAATAATGATTTAGAAATCCTGAGCCACAGACAACAAGTCTGTCCAAACAATGCTCTCAGTATGGCAATCCCAGAGGCCTCTAAGATTTGTTGCTGGTGTGCCAAGCAGCAAATAGATTCTTCAGCTGCCTTTCAGGAGATGCTGCAGGAAGCAAGTGAAACTTGCAAGGCAATGCAGTACTGCGACAGTTACAAAGTCACAGCGCTTCCAGCGCTGCAGTGAGTCAGTGGGCAGTCAGTCTGGCTGCAGTGGGAACAAAGGCTGACACGTATGTGCATCTGCAAAACTAAATAGCACTGGGCCTTGGTTACCTGGCTGAATAAACAAGAGCCTAGGCTTGAGCTGCCAGCCTTTTAAATGCAGTTTGTACTTCACTGCTTTTGTGAAGCACGGCCTTTTGACTCACTGGAACGGTAGTTTCAGCCGTGAGCCAGTTAAGATGCAATCCACAAATTGTCCATACTGCTGAATGGAAAAAAAGCCAAGTAGAAGATTTAGTTTTAAGGTCAGAGGACTAGTACTGTTAGAGTAAACTACACTGCACATAACCTTATCAAATAATTCTTTCTTGAACACATTCATGCATACTGCTTTAAGTATTGGGCATAGCACAGGTATAGTACAAGCTACAACCAGTTTAAAATAGCATTTGTTTTCAGACAAAGAGCCGTGTAAACTCTCCTACTGCTACTCCCTCAAGTCCTCTCAGGAGCACCACCAGGTCCTAAATTACTTCTTGCATCTGAGTGGAAATCACACCAAGTAGTGCAAGACCTGCAAAAGGACGACCAACATGATCATTTGGAGTACCTGTCAGGTATTACCCATTCCCAAAAGTAAGAATGCCATCTGATTGCGAGGTCATTAATACTCCTTTATAAGATAAGCAGCAAAAGATACAGCTAAGACTATCAGCAGAAATGGGTGTTAAAAAGTTCCATGCTTGAATTTCTCATTTTATTCTTTGTTGTTCTGGTGCAGAGATTTCATGCAGCACAGAAGACAAATAAGAATTTTTAGTGCATTTATTTTCTTTCATTGCTTGAAGTAAAAAGGAATTGAAAACTTGTCATCACAATGACTTCTTTCCTCTAACAGCTTGTGGTAAAGGCTGTAGTGATAGCAGAGCTTTAACAATTAACCAGGTGGTATTAAAAATAATAAAGAGATAGGATCAATTGGGTAGGGAAATATCAGTACTCACTAAGAGGGAAAACAGCATAACTTCAGGTAGAGGGCAAACTAGTAATAGGTAGGCACAAAACCTAAACTGTCACAGGAAATGCTGCTTTTATCCATGTAGCTTACTCTAGGGCCCAGACAGATTAAGAAGATGGGAGAGGAGGCAAAAGACAAGTTCTGTCTGTCCATTCACCCCACCCTATTTTAAGGCAAACCAGATGGGGGTTTTTTCTGGTTTTTTTTGTTGTTTTCCCATTTTCTTCACTGATGCTATAATTTTATTTGCAAATCATTCAAGATTGGCAATAGCATATTTATTCTTCTCACACAGTAATAATAGCCTTCCTAGACATGGAAGAAAAGAAATGCATATTTTTGAGCTATCCACCTCATCTAGATCAGTCTGTTACTGTTATTCCTAAGACAGCTCAGCGCAGA